TCTATTTGTGTTTGGGAGTATGTAAGTGCATTCATGCATGCGTGTGTGTGTGTGTGTGTGTGTGTGTGTGCATGCGTGCGCGTGCCTGGGTCTGAAGCCAATATTCAGCTGCTTCATTTCCTAAAAGGCAGGAAATTGTGAGCCTAAGAGGTCTGAGCTGGCAGATTAGCTAGACTCAGCTAGACTCTGCCGAGGGGTTTTTGAGCCCAGGTTGCCCTCGCAGGGAGACACACTGCTGCCAGTGGCCAGGAGGTCCCAAAGGAATAAAGCTTAGTAGTCAAGGCCTTCTGAGATCCAGGGATTTTAGCTCATTGGTTGTTTTCATCAGTTTTACTGCTGATACAAGTATAATAGCTTATATAATCTTCCCAAGAATAAAGTTGAGTTTATTGAACAAAAATTCAATTATTAAATGAGTTAATAAAGTTACACGAGTAACCAGAAAACAACCAAAACTAAACAAATGAAAAAGCAAAAGTAGGACAAAGACTTGACGTTCTGTTATTTAACTGATGCACAAATGCGACAAGGCCAGAGTGGGGAGGTACTAGAAGTCTCCCGGTGCCTATCCAAGTTTCTGCAAATAAGCATAGCTAGCATTTACTGAGCAGTTATTACCTGCCAGTCACTGTTCTAAACATTTTATTTGTGTTAACTCATTTAATTCTCACAAGAAATTCCTGCTGTACTACTGAAGAATCTGGGATACAGAAGGGTTCAGTAACTTAGTAAGTGGTAAACTCAGACTGGAGTTTGTGTTCTTAACCACTGAATCATGCTGCTCTTTTCACCGGAACAATGAGATGGTTAGCGTAATGATCTCCAAGGTCCCTTTTAGATTGAATTTTCTGTGCCTCTGAGTCTGTTTCATTCCCTACACAGAAGGTTAACAATTTTCCCTTAACATCAAGAATGCCCTAACTTCTCACATCACCGATACACAGCACTGTGCTAATGAACCCATTTGGTCCCCTGCTCTTCCCCTACCTCTGTTGGGGTCATCCATTATGCATGGTAATTTTCACTTGAAATTGCTACTGCTCGATTGTGAATCTCCTGTGGTCATGGATTCTTCCATTATTTCCTCCTCTAAACCTTTCCACAACAACCCATAAGACTCTCCACACAGGTGAACAAATTCTCCTCCTTTCTCAATCTCAGTTGAACTCATTTTTTGAGGAATTCATCTTTGATCCAAAGCCAGACATACACTGTAAAAAGCAATGGAATAATTTCTGGAGAGGTGAAACTAGCATTATTGACATTAAGATTCAACTGTGGTGGGCCATTTTACAATGAATGCAATTGCTTTTTAGGGACTAGATTTAAAAAAAAAAAACTAGCTCATAGAGTAAAAATAACTCAAATACACCACTTTCTTTAATAGAACCAGTCTTTACACAAGTGCCCCAGCTTGAAATACCACTTTGGAACTTGGTGGTTCCTGGAAAATACAAATGAGTGGCCAGATCTTCAGTCTGATCATACTTGAGATAGAGGAAGCATATTGAAACATGAACAGATGGGTCTATTAACAAAAAAGTTCATGAACAAAGGCTACTGTAGATTTTAGAATGATTAATTTACATTCTTCAGGTTTCTTCAATGTGTGGCCAATGCTAGGTTACACATCTTCCAACTCTGGCGGAAAAAAAAGTGCAGCATGTGTGATAACATCCAAATTTTTGTTCAAAATAAAAGTTCAAGAAATGATGGTTTCTTGCTGAGGCCTTTCTATTTTGGAACCATCAGTTGTGACTGTTCAAGAAACAAAATTCTTTGCGTTCTGTCAAGAACTATAAGATTTTAATTAACAGTCTTCACCAACTTGTGTCTTAGCTTAGGTGAAGTGTGAATTCCTCAAGAAGTAATTTAACTTCATTTCATTAAAACAATGTTGTTATCCTGATCTTTAATTCATTTACTAGACTCTTCTCTGAAGTATAGTCCAAGTTGGTAGAGTATTACATTTAATTATATATTGATCTACTACATTAATGGCCATATATTTGGGGGCACCCATTATGGTTAGGAATGATTCTGGAATCTGAGAACACAGGGGTGAATAAACCAGGGTGTTGAGGGTCATGTTGGAAGAGACTTACCCACACTTACTTAGTGGCAATGCATGGTGAATGTGCAATATCAATGGATGAAAAAAATGGTGATGAATTGAGAAGTCCCAGAGATTATTACTTCAGGCAGATGCAGAGGAGGATAGAGAAAGTTGCACACAAAACTGAAATGTTTTAGGTAAGTTTTGAAAGGCTAACTCAGAGTTCTCCACATGGACAAAAGGTCTAAGAGCATTCCAGATGAAGGAAAACCACATATCCTGTGAAAGTATACAGTCCTTTGAAACCAAACTTTCTGATTCACTCGTCCAGCTCTCCCCAGCATGAAACTATTCTGATAAGATAGAAGACTTGGCCCTTATTTTCCAGTTCCATGAAATCAAGGTGGTAAAAACTCAAGGGAATAGGAAAGCAAATGCTTGCTTGATTGCACAAATCATAAATCTAATAGAAATTAAACTTAGTTGAGACTGGGTAGTCTTTCAACCCAGGACTTCACTATGACTTCTGTTGGGCCTAAACACTGGCCTCTGTGAACTCCTTCCTCCATTAAAAAGATGTTGAAAATTATATTTTACAACTGTGCTGGTAAAAAGACCAATATGCTAATATTATTTATTCAGACTTTTTATTTTACCTAAAAGTTTTTTTCTTCTTATTTTAGAGGCAATTAAAAAATTTTTTAATCCTACACGCTATCGTTACCATGTATCGTGATAAATCACCTTCAGATAGTCTCTCCCATATTCCGTCCTGCATGTTGTTGCCAGAGGATACTTCTTAAAATTTCCCTTTCTTTGGATCACAGAGAACTTTCCAGGGCAGCAGTTCAGTGTAGTGATCCCAGATCCTCTCCCTTGAATGCAAGGCTTCACTAAGTCTTGTTTTGCCTGGCAATTCAACCTGACGCCCAAATGTACATTTTACTCTTGTCAGACCAGTCCCTCTTGTCCACTGCTGTGCATTAAGATAACCAAGGGAGGTGTTTTGTTTTGGTTTTATTTTTGTTTTAAACTCTGATTCCAAAATCAATTAGATCAGAATCTCTGGAGGTGGGACTCAGAAAGCAAAGTTTTTAAAGCTCCTCAGGTGATTCCAATTTGCATACAGGTTTGAGAACCAGCACTTCTGTAATGTGCTATATGTATGTATGTATGTATGTACCATATTGCATTGTAATAACCTGTTTACACATGAATCTCTTTACTAGATGGAAAGCCCCAAGCATCATTTCTCAATCATTTTACTTCGACCCACCACCTAGTTCAATGACTAGCATCGAGTAGACACTCAATAAATGTTTCTATTGAATGAGTAAATGGATGAATGAATTGGCACATGTTCTTAACCTTCCCCCTTCCTTTATTCTTCCTCATTGTCTTACTCCAAGGTTCTCAACCCTGCCTGCACATTAAAATCACCTGAGAGCTTTGTAAAACTATGCTGAGCCCCACCCCAGGCCAATTAAACCAGAATTTCTGAGGGTGGGGCACAGGTAGTTTTTAAAAGATCCTTAGGCGGTTTGAACGCACAGCCAGGGTTGAGAATCACTGACTAAGATTTACTCACTCTTTAAGACCCTCTTTAAGATCCAACTTTTTCAGGAAACTTTTTCTGATATTCTGCCACATATATCTTTCAATTTCTTAAATTATGGTTGTTTTTAAGAGAGAAATATGTAATTTCGGTCTTAATTATTTTCTTGATGCATCCATATGTGTGTTTTCACTGTGAAGCCAGCATTTGAGGGCAGGATTTAATGCTTGGTATAGCGTTGCTTTCCTAGGAGAGCTGAGAATGGTGCTGGACCAAATTCTAATACTTAGTGACTAAAGGCAGTTATTTGGGGATTTTATGTGAAAACATTTTTTTTTTAAGAGGAGAGGTAATTAGGTTTATTTATCTATTTATTTTTAGAGGAGGTACTGGGGATCAAACTCAGGACCTTCATGTATGCTAAGCATGGTCTCTACCACTTGAGCTATACCCTTCACCCAAAACATCATGTTTCTTGAACCAGGCTTGCCACACACTATTCAGTAGATCTTAGGTGATCAATAAATTGCTTGTCATTTTCAATGTGTTGTGGTAAGTAACTTTCTCAACCTTTCCTAGTTTAAAAAGCTTTGATTTATGCTTTGCTGTTCACCTGACACTAACATTGTAAATCAACTACACTTCAATAAAAAATAAGAATAAAAAAAAAAGCTTTGATTTAAACTATATCTTGAGTTTGACATCACACTGATGGCCAGCTCCCTGACAGGCATAATTCAACTTACTTACCAAAAGAGGCTCAACAGACTGATTTCAGTTTATGAAGGATGAGGTGAGGAGATTCGAAATTCAGGTTACATTGCTATCTTCGATATTTCTAACCCTTAACTCATATTTTCCCAGGGTAAGTAAAGGTGGTGCAAGAATTTGGGAGGCACCTTTTAGCACTCACCTTGGGCATGTGAACACCTGATTATTTTCATGACCAGATCGGAGAATACCATAACGCTTATTAAAAATGCTGATTTTTTTATTAGTCAGCATTACTGTGCTGCTGAGTGGTATGAATTTGGTAACTTAGCAGTTAATGGATATACATGTATTAATGACTGTGAACAACTTCAGTGCAGTATTTTATATACACACTTTAGCTACATATTTTGTAGGACCCTGATGTTTTGAAATTTCCCTTCTCTATTTTTAAATTTAGAAATAAATACCTAACAAATAAGTGGTTTCCTAACCAGGAAAAATAAAAATGCACATGGCTTATTTGTAATGGAGAGGCAAAACACAGACAAAATGAATATGGACATTTGGTCAGTGTGATAAAGGGACAGTACCCAACACTTGAGGGGAAAAAGTGACACATTTGTAATTGTATAATGCAGATGCAAAATCTGGGTTAACTTCAAAAACCATGCTTACCTGAAAGTCTTGGGACGTTTCTTTTTACAGAAACGATGCCTGTTTTCCATTCATAAATGTTCTCGGAGTTAGTTTAATCATGATAAGTACAAATTCTTGGAAGTGGTCAGCGAACATCTGCTTGGGGAAAAAAAAAAGCCTATTACGTTCCAAATATTTGTAAAATAGTCAGACCCACACAGACATACACAGACACACACAAACACATGCAAAGAGAGGTTTTGGTTTATATTCTGAGATTCAAATGAAGAAATGAATATGCAGTAAAAATTCCAATTTGGCACTAATTATGCAGAAGTATTTGAATGGAAACCCTAATTTAAATGCCTTGTTATTACGTTAAATATTTAGAATCCTGTGTCTTTGCAACCCCACAGCTTTTATATAACAAAGCAAGTAATGAAAACATAGGTTTCTCCTGAGTCATTTGCTTCAGCTTTCTCGAAAGAGATTAACAAGGGATGGTTTTATTCATGACTGAAACAATGGAGCGTCCTTTTTTATTGGTATTGTACTCATGTGGGTGAGGTGGCAACAGCCAAAAAAGAAGATGAAAAGCTAATTTCATTCTTCTCTTGTGTCTACCAGATAATAAGACCCAACATGTGCTTTACACTGTTAGAAGCATTTTAATATACATTATTTTTTATTTTCCTTACAGCGACCTGTAAGATTGGTACTGTCTTTTCCATTTACTAGAGATCAGCTAGAGGAGACTCAGACAGTTTAAACGACTTTGCCAAATTTCCACAATCTTTAAACTCAGTGGCCATTAACTTTGTATCTATTATGTACACAGCAGCTTTATCACAGACAGATGAAGCTAACATTTTAATTTCTCGGTCATAAGAAACACAATACTACTTGCTTTCAGATCAAAACCTGGCCACTTTATTATATGATCACTACCTCTCACTTCTTTCTGAAATACCTAGCCTTGTGGTGAAAAGAATACTTTTCACCAAGATTCTGAAACATTGCTGAAATGTTTAGAAAATCCCAGTTGCCTTAGCTCCTTCATGAACTAGTAATTGCTGTAGTCTCATCTGAATTAAAGGCTAAGTAGCCCCAGTAGCTGGGAGCAAAGCCCATTGATGCTTAGTGCCAGTGGGTCCCTTTGGCCTCAGGAGTTGGCATGAAGTTGGCAGTATTTCTACACAAAGTGGTTTTTAATAAGTGTTGCTTCCTAACATCATGGTGGTTGTTGATGCTAATAAACTTCCTACAAGGGAAGTAGAAGTGGAAAGTTTCATTTGTTAAACATTTTATCACCGTACTCAGTTAGCATGGACAATTACCCCAGCTCCCTGAGGCACATATTCCCTGAGTGTTTAGTGGTTAATGAATATAAATAGTAGCAAACCAGCAATTTTCAAAACCATAAATAACTGTTCCTCTGAAAACTCCTGCCAATGGAAAAAAAGCTAAATGAAAAAGAACTAACATAGCAAAAATATCACTTATTAACTAAGGCCAAAATTGAGGTTCAAAACCTTTCTAACCTTACCATCCTAGGACACTATAAATCTATTCAATTAATTCACAGAAGAAGCTTTATAAATGTGAGTTTTAAGTGATTATTTCTTTTCCATTTACAGTATTTATTTATAATTCCCTAAAAAACAGATGATAGTAAATATCCATCAATAGAGTTCATTGATGATCAGTAAATTTTGTCTGTAATCATTATTTATTACTTCTTTGAATTAAAGATATTCCTTTAAGAATACAAGTTCACATAGCAAATCGAAAAACAAAGATCTGAATAAAGAAAAGCTAGCAATTTCTCGTCTCCCCGTGAATAAATGTGGGCATTGGTTTATCACTCTACATTAGGGATTAACGTATCAAAGTATCCCAACAAGGACCTACTGTATAGCACAGGGAACTAGACTCAATATCTTGTAATAACTTAAAAAGGAAAAGAATCTGAAAAAGAAAAGACATATATATATATGTGTAACTGAATCACTTTGCTGTACAACTGAAACTATCACATTGTAAATCAACTAGATTTCAATAAAAAATTAAGTTCATCCGATTAAAAAAACTTATCAAGTATAAAAAAAATATAAAAGAGCATGTGAACTCAGGTTTTTATAGATGTCCTAATAGTTCCTTAGAGAAAGAGCAGCAATCAGCTAAATATACAAAATCTGGAATGATAGAAGTGACAATCTTCGTAGAATATTTAAATTCGTTGCTTAGTGAAGGACATTTGCTGAGATATGTGTACCAGACTTTAATATTAGTAATTATATCACCAGAAAACAGACTTTTAAATTATGATCCCCATAGAAACAGGGTTATAATATTTTGACAAACATCTCTGCAAAGTTGTAGGAGACATCAAATTAGAATTCAGTGGTTTTTATTTAACATAGTCTTTTAAAAATTTTTAGAATTGTTTTAGATTTACATAAAAGTTGAAAAGATAGTACAGAGACTTCTCATACATAACACATCCAGTTTCCCCTGTTGTTAACATCTTACATAACCATAGTACATTGGTCACAGCAAATCAACACTGATGTATTACTATTAATTAAACTTAAGAATTTATTCGGAGTTCAGTAGTTTTTTCCTAATGTCCTTTTTGTTTGTTTCAGGATCCCATTCAGGGTACCGCATTGCATTTGGTCAACATGTCTCCTTAGGCTTCTCTAGTCTGTGGCAAATTGTCCATCTTTGATTTTGATGACCCTGGCAGTTCTGAGAAGCACTAGTTAGGTATTTTGTAGAATGTCCCTCTTTGTGAATTTGTCCAATGCTTTTCTCATTGTTGAACTGGGGCAATCGGTTTAGGGGAAGAATATCACAGAGGTGAAGTGTCATTCTTATCACATGATAGCAAGAGTACGTACTATCAACATTGTGTTCCTGAAGATGTTAACCTTGATGTTAACCTTAAAGTAGTATTTGACAAATTTTTCCACTCTAAAGTTACTTTTCACCTTTCCCATACTCTATGCTTTGGAAGCAAGTCACAAAGTGCAGCCCATACTCAAGGAGAATGGTTGGGGGTGGCAGGTGGATTCAGCACCTTTTTGAAAAACTTATCCAGATATGTTTGTCCAATTTTCCTGCAGCAAGCCAGGCAATAGAAATTGTTATTAATCTTTGTCTCTGATTAGGAAGTTAGAATTCTCTTCCTCTAATTTGGTGACACATTTGTTTATTTGCTACCTGATACTAAAGAGAGATGGACTGATTCAAGAGGAGGTAGGAATGGAGGAGAAAGGAAAGAAAAAGAGAACACTGAGATGGTGGTCTAATTTTACAGCTATGTAATGCAAACCTCAGTATATATTGAAGATGTTTTTGTTAGGGAGTGTGTTTAAAATGGAATTGGAAGGGTATTTGGGAATGGAAATAGGAAAGAGTAAGCATTAGCTGATGTGAAAAAAAATCCTTGAGGTTACTATGTAAGTGACAACAAAATGTTATTTTATGTCCAGTAGTATTTCAGAAACCAACACCATTTGAAAGAAGCAACAATGTATGTGCCAATTTTATTTTGTAGATCATTTGAGTAATTATTCACATCCTTATTCATTCACTCATATTTACTGAACACTCAGTGTATGTTCAGCATTATTCTGGGCACAGAGCACAGAGGAGTGAGCAAGTAGTCACATCTTCATATAAAAGATTATTGCTTTTACGAAGAAACAATCCTTGGGAAAAAGAAAAGTAGGACCACAGAAACAGAGAGTAAAAAACCAAGCAAATATGTTAGATAATTTTGATGGAGGAAAATCTGAAGAAGAACTCCACAGATAATGATACAGAGATGGGTTTGGGGAGAGGCTATTTTATGTTGAGTGGTTTAAACCCTGCTCGTGAGATCATAGTTTGTGTTGTTGCAGGTGTTTGGCTTTTCTGCTTGTGTTTTGGTTTGCCTATACTGATCTTGTCTCTTCCTCGTCACTGTGCTGTGGCACAAGTTCTAGAAAACACAGGATGGAACTTGGAAAAGGCAATAGAAGCAGAATGGATGCTAAGGTGAATTCTACCCATAAAGTTTCTCAGTCTCATGCAGATGGAATGATCAAAGATTGTATTCTCAAACTAGGACCCAACTACAGAGATATTTTTAAAAGTCTACATAACCATAAAAAGGTAAAAGGATTTTTAATACTAGTACCAGTGCATCCAAAATGAATATTTTGCAGTACATTAGCCCCCTTAGCATATTAAGCTTTTATTAAAATGACAATGCACTGCTCAAAATTCACAAAGAGGTCAGAAAATTTTGAACAAACAATAAATGAACTATGTAGCCTTTAAGGTTACTTCTTCGAAGGGACCAATATTCATTCAGATGAATAATTTCTGGTAATTTGGTTTTAAAAAGTGAATCAACTTACTTTGTAGTTATTCTTTGCATTCCACTACAAACCACTCCTAAAACATTTTAGAGACCTTTTGCTTTTATATTTTGTTATTTATATCACACTATATGGTTATGCTCAAACTAGCAAGAGTTTTATAGCTTTAATTTAAAATTATGTATGTGTGTGTATATATATATATATATATATATATATATATATATATATATATATATCTGTCTAGTACTCCCCTTTGCTGCAGTTTCTCCACTCTGCTCCAGCTATAATGGTCTCGGTGTTGCTCCTAGAATTTTTTGACAAGACCTCATATATATAAGGATATATATATTATATATAATTACATAATAATATGTTATAATCATATATTAGGTTTTACATATGTCATATATAAAATATATTATACCATATAATATATATTTAATATAGCATTATATATTAAATTATATACAATAATACAGTTATTATGTATTATATATTAGGTCTTATATATGACACATATATACACAATCTGATAGGTATTGATGTAATTGCACAGATATGTAATGTAAACCTTAGTATGTTAGTATGTTGAAGATGCTTTTTTAGGAGAGTAACTTAGTGATCTAGTAAGGTGTAGCCTGTTAAAAACTAACTTAGTATATAAAAGTTCAAAATTAAAGGTCTACTTTTGCCTGTGGAAATAAATTTAACCTAACTAGTTTTCCATAAGTTCTATAAACAAAGCCTGTAGAGTTAGGCAGTTTTCATTATTAGTGTATACCATTTATTTCCCCTAAAATTAAAATGATCTACTAAATTACTATTTAATCTTGTAATTATCAACATTA